CTTTCTTTCTTTCTTTCTTTCTTTCTTTCTTTCTTTCTTTCTTTCTTCCTTTCCTCCTTTCCTCCTTTCCTCCTTTCCTCCTTTCTTTCCTTTCTTTCCTTTCTTTCCTTTCTTTCCTTTCTTTCCTTTCTTTCCTTTCACCAGGCTTGTTTTTGTTGCCGTGATAGAGTACTTGAGACTGGTACATCATTCCAAATAGATTGAGTTTGGTGTATGGGCCAAGGGGCTAGACATGCAAGGGGAGGTGGGTGCATGGGGCAAGGCCTGTGCTGTGTCATAGTGGGTGAACAAGAGGAAGAGACAAAGCAGGAAGAGAGGCCTTGCTTCAGTAACAACCCTGCTCCCGTGAGTGATCCATCCACAGGAAAGCAGGGCCTCCCTCGTGAGCTAATCATCTCTTAAAGGTCACACTCTCTCAGTTCTGTTACACTGGGGACCAGATTTCATCAAGAGCGTTGGGAGAGGGCAAATGGTATTTAAACCACAGCATCACACTTCACGAATGCTGAGGTCTTGGCTACTGGGCAGTCCCAATTGTGCTCTCTTGCGAAGGGGTACGATGTCACTCAAAAACAGGTTCACTTAAAAAACTAACTGCAGTTGAGACGGGCGAGGGAGTTGAGCTGGTGAGGCTCCTGACATGCACGCCTGAGACCTCAGTTGGGTTCTCCAGCACCTATGTTAAGTTCTGGGCAGGGTGAAGCTTGCCTGTAACTCCAGGCTATGGGGTGGATATAAGCAGATCCCTGGAGTTCATTAGCCAACTAGCCTAGCTAAGTTGATGACCTCCAGGCTCAGTGAGATACTCTGTCTGAGAAAAAAAATAAGGCGGGACACAAAGTTGGAAGGAGGTGGACCTGGGAAGTTAGGGGGACAAGTTGGGAAGGATTATGGGCAAAATCCATAGTATGACTGTATGAAATTCTCAGCTAACAAAAATATATAAAATATGTAAAACATAAAATATATAAAAATCAGGAGAAACAGTTGAGAAGGACATCTGCCATGGACCTCTAGCTTCCACATGAACCTACAAAAATAATTACGTACACCACAGACAGACAGACAGACAGGCAGCTGGGGCGATTGGCATGTATTTTCTTACAGTACACGCAGGTATTTGAGATGATTGATGTGTATTTTATAACAAGAATAAAATACACAAACAGAGGCAGTTGACGCTATCATCGACATCTATTTTATGTTTTTTTTTTCCTATTTGTAAATCTTGGGGATTGTTTTATGAACATTTTTTTTCAGTGTTTTTTCTCTTAGTAAAATCTTTTTTTCCATTTCCCATGCAGTTTTCTATGTGTCTAATTTTAGTATCCCGTGTGTACTCATGCACATTTTTCTCATGCTCTGGATTATAATTCTGTGTCTATGCGTCTAGGCTTTCAGTCCCTTGATCCTAGTGGCCTGTCTTACTTCCCAGGAGAGAGCATGATGTGATATAAAAGGGTGAGACTAAAGAGTGTTGTGTGTGTGTTAAGTAGCATAAAGCGCAGCTCCAGAACCTCAGGACTGGTATATTGCATTCAGTAGCAATTTCTGTATCTGTTCTCCTGCTGGGCATGAGCAGCAGCCTGATGTGTTCAGCCTGACCAGACATGTGCTGTGTTTGATTGCTTGCTGATAATGAGTGGTGATGGGTACCCTCTCAGACTGTGGCTGCTTTGGTTCCAAGGTCATATCTTTCCCTTGGTTGAACATAAGTGGATTTTGCATTTCAGGATGTTGGCTTGTGAAGCCCGGTAGATTGTGTTTATTATTTACGTTCTGGAGCATTTATCATTGTCTGACCTCTGCCACTTCTTCCTTCCATTTTGATAAAATGAGATTTGTGCCTGGCGAGCCCTCGATGGAGTTGATTGAATGGCCTTTGACTGAGTCTCGCTTTTCTTTGCTTTGTGCAAAACTGTAATTTCGATCTCATTTCAGAGACTTTATTGTGCCTTTTTACATAAAAATCTAATCATTCTCAAGGATAGAGGTTAAATTGTACAGATTAATGTGCTTTGTTTCATACACCAAGCTTCCCTTCCTATCCCGTTGAGATAAAAGCTTCCTTTCTGTTTTCTTTTCATGGACTCTCCAGTGTTTTTCAAACACCGGAGGCAGAAAAACAGAAAATAACACAGTGTATATACATACTGAGCGTCGTGGTGCATCATTAATATAGCCCACTTTTACGTTCTTGAGGACTAGCCAAAAGTAAACACTAGAAAGCAGTTTATTAACCAAAATGCCCTGAACCGGGGAGTCTATAGAATTTGACACCTGATAATCATTTTAGAAGGTAAACTTTAGAAGCGTTGCTCCCATTGGTTCCTTACTGATTTCAAACTCCCTTCCTGTTCCCCTTCATTCCTCTTTGGTACTCTCCACGTCCATGTGTGTATGATGGAAAGCCTAAAATTAAAATCCAGCGTTCAGAGTGCTTTGATCTGGAGAAGTGAGGAGAGCCTCTAAGGACCCACCTGCCTCCAGTGCTCTCTCTCACAGAGGTTTCACCAGCCATGATTATGTCTTGAGCCTGCTAACACCCAGAGAGAAGAGAGCCGCTGACCTGCAGAACTCTGAGATAATAAATGGGTGTTGTTCTAAGCCTCACTTGTTTTTCTTCTTCTTCTTCTTCTTTTTTTTTTTTTTTTGACAATTTGCTATGTAGCAATAGAAACCTAAGCAACTGTCAAGTGGGTATTTGTGTTTCTTGAGCTTTGCCTCTGGGGGGAAAAAAGGCATACTTAAATTAAAAAAAATAAATTTGATTTGTTACCCCTCTCCCTGTGTGTGTGAGCATGAGTATGGTATGTGAATGTGAGTATGGCCACGTATGCATTACATGAATCACACATGTATCACACTTAGGCTTATACAGCAGTCACTGTCATCATTTGAACCATCTCCTCAGCCTCAGACCGTTTTACTTAACACCAGAAAGAAATGGTCTGTCTCCTTCGTGTTTCCATTTCATGGAAAGAATCTCTAGCTTTGGATTCGAAGGAGCAGGAGTCTGTTTTGTGTCCGAGAACATAGCAACGGTGGGTTGATTTCTCTCTACACAGTGAGGCAGCATCTTCCTCTGAACCAGCGTTTCAGCACCAAAGCAGCATCTTTGGTCACTGTAGGTTCTCCAGAACAGCCTTGGCTTCAAATATCTCTTCTGCTTTCAGGGTGGATCTTGGCCTTTTAAAATGAGAAACCAGGAAGGCCAGAAAAGTGAAGGCTTCTTCCAGCTGGTGCACTTGTCCTGTGCTGGATATTTTGTAACATCTTTGGAGAAGCGGAACTGCCTTGATAGACAGTAGCAAATGGGTGCAGATGTATTGAGGCTAACACAGGAGTGAGGTGACTTCCTGGGACACTTAGTCTGAACACTTATCACATATAATTTGAAATAGAGGGTAAGGGGATTTCATAACACATTAGAACCACCGTGTGTGATAATGGTTCGCCCAAGAGAAGGAAACACTGTTAGGTAGGTTCTCCAGGACTTTTCTTGTGTCCCTGATTCTCTCCTGCGTCGGGGGGGGGGGGGGTTGAGTTATCTCATCAGGGTAAGTACAGCTAGTGATGAGGTCGGGGGCGTTTTACAGGGAGACGTGACTCGGGCTGTGAAGGAGGACTTTGGAAAGACACTCAGAGGGTGGTCTGTGTGGCCACTGTCTTCCTCATAGGCTAGAACCACCCTACAGTGAGGACTGTCCATGTGAGAAGCATTGCTCTCTGCCTCTCCCTTCTCTTTCTTTCATTTGCTAGCCACAGAAAGCCTCTTAGGTGTGTTTGTGGATGGGACATGATGCGTGATCAGGTGTTCATTTGTCAGATGTTGAAATATCATTTGAATAATACTTTGGAAGTACTGTTGGTGCCAAGGCCAGCGGACAGCATCTAACTAATTACTCCTTTCTGTCTCACAGTATTGGCTGGATCCCGCAAAGACTCTTGCAGAGCACAAGGAGCTAATCAACAGTAGGTATTTAATTTTAATTTTCTGAGAGGGTGACCTGGGTATGGTGAAATGTCTGTGATTGGTTTAGCACTGGTGGGGGACAGTAGGACAGAGAACAGCAGTGTGTCCTGTGAGGCTCTCTCCAGACTTGGGGGGGGGGTGTTCATTGAATCAGACCCTCTGCGAATCTTGCTGCTGTATGGAATGTGTCCTAGGGACACACCCTCGCATGGTTTTTATCTGTGACTTTTCTCTGTTTGTCTTTAAAACCAGACCTTAAAAAGGGAAAAAGGCAGAGAGGAAAGAGTTTGCTCCTGGGTTATGGCGGGTTTTGTTATCTATGCCACAGGGGGTACCCTGTAACCTGGAAAGTTTCTGTGACTTCAGAGAAAGGGGGGGATACAAGAGAGAGAGAGAGAGAGAGAGAGAGAGAGAGAGGGGAGGAAAGAGGGGGAAAAGGGAGAGAGAGGAGAGAGAAAGCAGAGAGGAGAGGAGAGAGAGGAGAGAGAGAGAAGAGAAAGAGCAGAGAGAGAGGAGAGAGCAGAGAAGAGAGAGGAGAGAGAGAAGAGAGAGAGCAGAGAGAGGAAAGAGAGGAGAGAGACAGAGAGAAAACAGAAGAGAGAGAAGAGAGAGACAGAAGAGAGAGGGAAGAGAGAGGAGAGAGAGAACAGGGGAAAGAGGAGAAAGAGAGAGAGAGAGAAGAGAGGGGAAAGAGAGGAGAGAGAGAACAGAGGAAAGAGAGGAGAGAGTTAGAGAGAAAAGACTATTCCTTGCCAGGAGTTAGTTTTTAGGATAATCAGTATGAATTAGGGGAGTTGTAATTAAATACATATTCTTTAATCTTAATATTCATGCACAAGATTTTATTTATAAACAGATGTGCAAACTTAAGTAGCAAAAGAATCTAATTCTTTACAGACTTTTGTGGTAAAATGACAGCAGTTGGGGCTGGAGAGATGGCTCAGTGGTTAAGAGCACTGGCTGCTCTTCCAAAGGCCCCGGGTTCAATTCCCAGCACCCACATGGCAGCTCACAGCTGTCTGTAACTCCATTTCCGAGGGATTGGACACTTTCACACTAATGCACATAAAATAAAATTAAATAAATTAAAAAAAAGACTTAAAAGAAAATAGTGTTTAAAAAAATGACAGCAGTTAAAAGTTTGAAACATTTTGTGTGCAATTTGTTGACATTAAGTAATTCACATTGTCGTAACTACCATCATCCACATAATTTTTCATTATCCCAGACTGACCTCTGTATCCAGCAAACCATTTTGTTTAAATTGTGACTGACTGCCAATTAAAACCTAATGGACCCTTCTGCCTTTATGGCCCATCCCTCCCATGCCTGTGGGCCCTTTCTCTGTGGTGATGTTGGCTGTGTGAATGTCTGGATCCCAGCACAGGAATGCAGCCACACCTCAGAGAGGAAGTAGGAACCCAGACCTGCAGGACCCTTGGGAGCAAGTACAGATTCTCTGAACCTCAGCGTTACTGTTATCATCTCTGGCTTTCTACCTCTCTGGTGGAAATCACCAAAGTTTACAAATTACAGTTCTGGCCCATTTGAACCAATTAAAAGAAGAACAGTAACTATCAGGAATAATTATTTTAAAATAAACTTGCAGGTTTCTCCTATAGAGAACAACTGAGGTAGTAGGAAAAGAGAAGTAAACCAGCAGATCACATAGTTCATGCCTGTAATCCCTGGACAATAGAGGCCGAGGCATGGGAGATGCCACAGGTTGAGGCCAGCTTGTGGGACATAGTGGTTTCAGGCCAGCCTCAACTACAAAGTCCTTGTGTCAAAAACAAGCAGGCAAACACAGGGACTGGAGAGATGGCTCAGTGATGAGAACACTGGCTGCTCTTCCAGAGGACCTAGGTTTGATTGCCAGCACATAGATGATAGCTCATAACCTCCCAATTCCAGAGGACCAAATGCTGTCTTCTGGCTTCCCTGGACACCAGACACACATGTGGTATACAGACATACATGCAGACAAAGCACCTATATGCATTAAAATAAGTAAGCCTTTAAAAATATTTCATGTCATATTACTAAGGCGTGCCTGGGTTCATTTAAAGTCTCCATCTAATTCATTAAAATATTCTATTACAGCATTGTAAGAATTGATAATTTTTTGATTCCCAAATGCTGCAATGTTAAAGACTTAATGTATCATAAGTATAAAATACGATCTCAACCAAAGAACTATGCCATGGGAGATGTTCTGTTTATCTCATGAAGTATGTTGATAGTGAAGGCAAATGGCATAGTCAGCGTGAGCAGCCATAAAAATAGTAGACCATTTCTAGTCACTAAGATTCTCATAGATAAATCTGTATTTACTTGCCCTAATCTAAGTGGAAATTCAAAATTATCGTTATTGCACTAGAACCTCGTTTTCATGAGAGCTTGATTGGTGAATTACCACTGTCTGGTTCCTACATGTTTTTTAGTAAAGCAAAAATACTGGCTTCACTTCAAGGGTTTCTTTATGTTGATCCCGTTGAATGGATGGATTTCAGCTACTAGTAAGCTAGTGATTTGCTTCATCAGTACCTCAGTTTTGTAGTTAGTCTTAGAATATAGAAGCTAGAAGATGGCTAGAAATATTCTTACACAAAAGTGATCATTTCCTGGGCTGTAGATTTCTCTGCCAGGAGCTCCAGACAAGAGTTTGCTCCAAAGGTCTGTTTCCCCAGACTTTAGAAGACTGTGTACACACAGCATTAAATACTAGGCACAGGCAGGCTTGATTCTCATCTCCGCGGTTTCAGACAAGCTGCTTAACTCCTCAGAGGTTCACCTTCTTTGTGGTAGTTTCCATGCTGTGACCAAAAAGGAAATATTCATGATTTTTTGTTGTTATCTGAGACCGGGCCTCACTGTACATCCCTGGCTGTCTTGGAACTCACTCTGTAGACTAGGGTGGTCTTGAACTCACAGAGACCCACCAGTGTCTGCCTCCAAGTGCTGGGATTAAAGGCATGGGCCACCACACTGGACAATACGGAATGGCAGTAGCCTGCCTGTATGCAGCAGAGAAGGCCAAAGCCCTTAAAGAAAATTAACTCAAGCTGAGTGATTTTCATTGTGCATTTTTCAAGTTTCTGCTTAGCTGCTCATGACTGGACACAGATGAAACGTCTATGCTGGGTGAATAGGGGTCATCTGTCATGTTCCACAGGACGAAAGTAGCTCTGGAGTCTATAGACTGCCTCTTCCCTTTATGTACGTTTTAGCAGCATGCAAGCCTCCCTGCCCCCGCCCCCCTGGGTGCCAAGCCCAGCCGCCTGAGGGCACAGGCGCACACCCATCTGCTCAGGAGCGGAGCTTGATTGACACAGACCATCAGCCGTCCCTGGACTTCCTGGCTCTTCTAAATATTTAATAGTCTTGCCTCCTTGGTGTCTGTGTTCAGGGGTTTGTTGGAAATACAGTGATTGTATTGAATATTGAATAAGCACAGGAACAAAAATATATGAAATAGTGATAAGAAATTAGAGCAAAGGTTTTTAAAATGTAGATTTTTTTTTTAAAGCCCTGAGTGTAAGAAGTAACTCATGAAGGAAGGCAGAGATGAAGGGAGGGATGGGCCAACTGGTGATGTCCTGTGTATACAATTAATAGGGCTTTGGAAGAGTTCAAAACAGAGGTGGGAGTGTGTGAGAATAGCCAATAGCATGGTTTGCATATTAGAGATTAACTGTATTTTTATTACTTGTTTTAATTTGTTTCTTTCCCACAGCTTTTAGGTTATGACTTTATTAAGTTATGACTTCATTTATTTAAGGAAAACTGAAAGCAGACTAGAGTTTCTATGCATCAGTTAAATGCTTTCAGCAGGCAAATGCTTCCTGCTTTCTGTTCGTGGGGCAGAGCCTTTGTTGAAACAATCAGTTGCAACACTGACAGTCAACTGGGGCACCAAGTAAAAAGTTCTTTCTAAAACAAAGGGTCTGGCCGTTGGAAGGTGGAGACAGGATTTCAAATCAACCTCCGCTGGGAGCGGGTTTGAGGCTGGCTTTAGCTCCAATCAGATCCTGTCTCAAAACAGAAACAAAGCATATTAGATCTATTAGTAATTACTGCCATCTTGGAAGTTCGCCGTTTTGAAAACAGTTCAGACCACATCCATTCATTCCAAAATAAGAAATAGTTCTAGGAATAGCATATTGCAATGTACCAATACCCGAGGGAAATTCCTATTCCTGCACAATGTGTTTCTTTGTGTTTACCCATGCACATGCAATTCCAGGCCTTGTTTCTAAGTTTGCAAATTTTGTTCTTGCTGTCTATAGACTTAGGTCTTCTGTGTGTAGTAAATGAATCAGAAGTATCTTTTTGCACATGTGAGGATATGTTTTTTTGTTTGTTTGTTTTGTTTTTGTTTTTTGAATAGTTTGAGGGGCTGGAGAGATAGCTCAGTGGTTTAGAGCACCAGCTGCTCCTCTAGAGGACCTGAGTTTAATTACTGGCACCCACATGGCAGTTCCCAATAATCTATATTTCTAGTTCCAAGGATCTGACCCCTTCTGACCTCTGAGGGGAACAGACATGCTTGTGGTATGCATACATATATGCAGGTAGGCAAACACTCATACACATAAAATAAAGCAAATGAATCTAAAGGAAAAATAGAGTAGTTTGAGAATGCAGCAGATAGTATGTAACACATGGCTTCTCTGACTATTATTTTTCTTGAGAAATATACATGATTAAGGAGATTCCAGTTAATCAGTTTGCAGGATACTCCTGTTTTCTCTTCCCAGCATTCGCCCCAGTTTAGACATTCTTGTGTATTTTTCCTAGGACAAACAACATATATTCGACATTTTTTTTCCCCTATGAAGTGTCGGGTTTCTGTGCTCAGGACTGTGGGCTGGTGACGCTGTCCACACCAGCATATGACGATCTGTATCTGTTGGACACACTGAGACTGGTCCACTGTCCCATGGCTGTGGCTCGCTGACATGGTCCTCTGCTATCAGCATTATTCACAGCTTGTTGGCAGAGAACTTTAGAAAAACTTTGTCTTGATAGTTGAAGTGATAAGTAGATGGCTTTAAAAAATCATTTATTTGTCAATACGCTTTTTTGATTGTGAAAACAATCTCTCTTTCCTCCCTCCTTCCCTCAGTGATGAATAATTCAAAATATAAATTGATAAAAATTGTATACAGGCTGTCCAACCATCTGTAAGAACCTGTAACATTGGCCTTAAGTGTTTTCTGTGTTTGTGGGTGAATGAATGCACACTCAGAACTCATTTCCTGTTTTCAGTAGTCTTGAACCATGCCGTTTCTATCTTGTGTCCTTGTGTCTTTAGAAATATTTTGTAGTGTGTGCTGCATGTGTGTGTACCTGTATGGCCAGGTGCATGAACTGTGTGTACATGAGTGTGCATACCTATATGCAGAGACCAGAAGAGGATGTCGGGTGTCCTGCTTTATCATTCTGTCTGACAGGGTCCCTCCTAGAACCAGGAGCTTGATTGGCAGTTAGAGAGCCCCAGAAAGTCCTCTGTCTCAGCCCTGCACAGTGCTGGGGCCACAGACACAGGTGCAACCACTCCTAGTTTTTTTTGCGTTGATGCTGGGATCTGAATTCAGATCCTCTGGCTTGTATAGCAAGTACTCTTACCCACTGAGCCATTTCCCCAGCCCCAAGTAAGGAGCCTTCCATTTTAGCAAATGGTTAAAATTCAAAATCCTCAATAGTTTTTAAAAATATGTATAAGCTGGGTGTATAAACTACCCTAATGGTGGCACATTAGGGTAGTTTAATCTCAACACTGGGGACACAGGGGCAAGTGGATCTCTGTGAGTTCAAGGCCACCCTGGTCTACATAGCAGGTCCTAGTCAGGCCAGCCAGAACTACATAGCGATGCTGACTCAAACATGGACAAAACACACACACACACACACACACACACACACACACACACACACCACACATTTGTGCCAGTGGATACACAGTCTACTTAGAGGTAAATTGTAATACTAATATTATTTGATATGAAAGTGTAAAGCTTAAAATATAATTCGTATGTAAATGAACCATTAACTGCTTGAAATAGATGTTTTCATATTTAATGTGCTCTCCATATGTGAATATAACTCTTGTTACATATTACAGTGCATCTTTGATTATAATATGAAATATGATTAGTTCTTACTTTTTTTTTTTAAGCTGGACCTCCATATACTTTGTATTTTGGTATTAAATTCTATGCTGAAGATCCGTGTAAACTAAAAGAAGAAATAACCAGGTACAGTATTAACTTCATCTTTGACTAATGTGCTGTGCATGAGAGGCTGTCTTGAAAGTGGATTGAAAGTTGGGGTAAACACCTGACTGTGTGCCGAGCTGTGTCTTGTGATGTGTCTGCTGTGAGGATTCCATTTTAGCCTTGTGCGAGCCCGAGCAGGGTCCATGATAGATGTGCTGGGAAGTGACAGGAACCTGGGTGGCCTGATGAGAGATTCTGCGTCTGCTGTGAGGCAGAATGTCATTATCCAGCAAGCCTTCAGCCTTTGTGTTCATGTAAGAGCAGCCATTTGAGGTGCAGAGGGAGGGCATTTGGGTGCTAGTTTTACACATAGGAACATATACTAAGAAAGCCAGTTACCCTCCTTTAACTAGCTGTAGGCGAATCATCAGCTGTTCAGATATATTTCGTTTATCTCTGCAGGAAATGAAAAGATAGTCACTTTAAATATTAAACGGGGAGATAAAAGTCCAGTACTTTAATGTATTACTTTATCTTTATTACCAAAAAAAAAAAAAAGAAAAAAAAAGAAAAGTATTTCAGTAAAGACAGATTTTCTCATTGGTATTGATTAGCTACATCACCAAAATAGACCACTCAGCATTTGGAAGCACCTTCTAAAGAGAGCGTTATCCGTGCCCTGGTGAATTTGACTGGTGAACCAGCTGTAAAAACAAAAGCTTTTGTCAAGACTCAAATTGTGAATTTTCCAGTGAACTTTTATCATGGACCGAAGTAAAGCATCATACATCATGTGAAAATCTGGAAGTCCCATCAACAAAGGCAACCTCTGTGCCCCCCATTCCATCCTTTTGCTTGTACATATGCGTATGTTGGGGGGACGTGCACAGGCGGAGGCCAGAGCGCAGGTGTGTTTCGCAATCACTCTTCTTCAGTTTTGAGACAAGGTCTCTAATTGAACATGAAGCTCATTTATTTGGCGAGGCTGGCTGGCTAGCAAGCCCCAGGGAGATGTCTGCCTCTGTGACCGCATCGTGGGTTTCCAGGTGTCGCCATTCTGCCTGGCTTGTGCAGTGGGTGCGGGGGATCCGAACTCGTGTTCTCATGCTTGCAGACCTGCATGGACCTGGCCGTTTTCCCGGCTCCTTTTGCATTCTTGCGCCTTTCCGCTCAGACCTTTCCTCTTTATTTCGGACTCGTTGGGCTTTCCCATCCCACTCTGACCTGCCACACGGAGGCCTTCAGCACCAGGTGATGTCCACCCCCACATCACCAGCCTCCCTCTGCTTCTGAGCACTCTGAAGAGCCAGCGCCCTCGAAGGCTTTCTAGCACACACCTTTCTGTGAGAAGGGAGTTGTGTTCTGAGAGGAGAGGTATTTATATTAGAGCTTCAAGGGTGCAGGGCCGGGAACCGAGTCTAAGAGGTGTGAAAAATGCGTTAACATCTATAACTCGTCAGAGAACGGCAAAGGGACATTCTGTTTAAAAACGTCGAAAGTCCATCGTTTCAATGGACTCTGCCTCAGCATCTGTATCAGAAGAGTTTTGTAAGCATTGTAGAGGGTGAATCAGTGTATGTTTAGAGTGGTAAATACTTAATTAATGTGAACTTTCAGTGCTTTGCCCTGTATTTGCCCTGACAGCACTGAGTTTACACTCACATAGAGGTCCAAGGAAATGCTTGTGCTAAGATGAAGAGAAAGACCAAGGGCTTGTAATCCATTTCTTTACCTCTATTTACGTTGTATTAATAGGGAAAAGACATTTTTCTTCAGAATCAGCTAATGCTATGCCCAGGAGTATTGTCAGTGCCAGACTGTGCAAGAACTGGATGACATAATTAGCTTGTAGGTGGTGACTATAAACGCAGTTAAACATAGGTGAGCTAAAGGCACATGTATTTTGTGACATGCGGAGGATGATGCCATTGACTTGCTACATCGACAAAAGTGAGGTGATTACGTAAAATAACTTGATTTATTTGTTGTGTGTGTGTGACTGTGAATGTACAGTATGAATGGTGTGTGTGTGTAAGTTTGAGTGGGGTACGTGGGTGTCACGGTGCATGTGTGTGGAGGTCGGGGGTATCTCTTCTGGAGGCAGTGTTCTTTTGAGGTAGGTTATCTCTTGTTTTGGTGCTGTGCTGCTGCACAGTCCTGACTAGACTGGCCTGAGAGCAGACTGTTTTCCCGTCTCTGGCTCCCATCTTGTGCCAGGAATGCTGGGATTGTGGTTACGTGCCCCCGAATCATCTAGCCACTCATGTGGGTTCCAGAGATGGAGCTCAAGTCACCAGGTTTGCTCAGCAAGCATTTTTACACAGTGAGCCATCTCCCTGGCTAAAAGCTAAAACTGAAACCCAAGAGCAAAGTTCCCTTGTATGCTATTAAAGGATAACCATTTTTGTGGCCAGTATTTCCTAACTAAGCTTCAGAGTTTTCAAGTTTAAGTTCATCTGGGCACCCCAGCACTTGGGAGGCTGAGGCAGAAGGATTGCCATGAGTTCAAGGCTGAAAAGCAAGCAAGCAAGCAAGCAAGCAAAGAAACAAAAATTCCAAGTAGATTACTCACTTTGCTTCTGTTCTTTGGACCCTTGTTCCAGCTCCAATACTTTGTACTGATTTTTAAGTTTTCATAATTTTATATGAAATATAAGATAAAGGAAACCTTTGTTTGCATAATCTTCCATCTAACTGGCTGTATAAGTTTGAGACCACCAAGTTTTCTGTCTACATAACAGAATTACAGGATTTCCAAGTAAATAGATTTAAAAAAAAATCATGCTATTTCATGTATCTTGCTAGGACTTCTCTTCCCACTCAACACTTCTCTTCTGGTAGATGGAGTTTTAGTATGTGTATAGAACGGTGAGTGGAAAATAGAGGAAGTCAGTGCACGAGCAGTAACAACTCCAGTGCAAACAATGTAAACGCTCAGCCGATTGGCCAGGGAGCGGAAGTGGGGGGAAATGGTTATTATTTTATACTTTTCCCTAGGAAATAGAGAAAAGATTAATGTGAAGCCCCGAGACAGGTCTTCCAGGTGTATCCGTATGTTAATCAGGACTTGGTAGGAGTGTTCACTTCGCCGTGAATCATCCTAGCACAGTCCTGTAGCCTGCATTTCTACCATTGCCGTGTTCAGGCTGGATGTGCCCACTTGCTCATTCTTCATTCAGCAGCTGCGTTCAGCGTCATTCCCCGTGCGACTGTGCAATCAAGGAAGGAGCTGATTTCCATCATTTGAAGAGAACCGTTTTGGCACTTCTGTGTAAGGAGTTCTGTTTGAGCTTTAAAAATAAAAAAGGAGGTCATTTCAGTTTTCTAAAAGTATTTGATAGGATTTTAGTATTAAACTCACCTTTTGTTTTTATTGCCTGACCCCTGATCTCTGGCAAGCGAGTTGGCGCAAGAAGTGAGAGTTTATCTTACTATCTCCCTGTGCATTGTGAACCTAACCTGAAGCCAAAGGAATTTTTGGTAGGATATTTTTTTAAAAATCCTCTTTACTCTAAAAGGTCCTTGTCACTCACCCTTGAGAAGACTGGAAGGGGGATAAACATGATGTGGCAGGCTTTAAATGTGAAGAGTCCTGGATTAGGGGTAGAGAGGAACACATTACCACCCCACCATCACGCATTCTGTGATTGAGCGTGGCTGTCCCTGACGGTTTTTCAGTGTTCCTAGGCCTTTCACCTGGGACCTGAGAACAGCGTGCCTGCTCCTGAAGCAGCTGTGAGGAGGTTCTGCTTCAGTCCTGCAGTTGTACCCCAACTTGACCTCCATCTTCCAGGAATGGCCAGCGTGGCCTCTGACATTTGGACTTCCTCATAGGGCCTTAGCTGTAAGCAGTTGGAGAAGAGATACTTATCACAGATGATTCCTAGGACCCATTTGTTTTTCTTGTCTCTGACATCACCTTACAGAGGAAGGGAGATCACAGGGTGGCCTGGGGGATGTGGGTGTGTGAGGGCAGCAGCTGGATGCTGGCCTGCTGTTACGCTGCCTCACAGAAACCCTCATGTGGATGCATGTGTGTGCATTTGCATTTGGAGTTATGTGCGTGCATGCTTGGATACACCTGTATGGATTCTTGTGTGTGTGTGTGTGTGTGCGTGTGTGCTCGTGAGGCCCAGAGGTCAGTGTGGGTGTCCCTCCCCAGGCCCTGACCTCCTGAGGTTTTAGACAAGCTCTCTCACTGGCCTGGAATCCACCAGTTAGGCTAGGCCAGTTGGCGGGAACTCCAGGAATTTGCCCACCTCTGCTTCCCATGAGCTGGGATTCTACACACACTTCCACATCTGTTTTTTTTTAATTCAGGTTCTCGGGATCAAACTCGGGTTCTTCTGCTTGTCCAGTGAGCACTTTATCAACGGGGCCATCCACCAGCCCGCTCTTGGCCGGGAGGGTTCTAGGATCCAATTGCTTGGAATATAGTTCTGTTTCTGCTGCTTAACCAGCCGTGACATCTTGGGGCCCAGTTACCTTATCCGCAGAATGAAAACAGCACTTCTTGGCACTATGATTGTGAAAGGTAGCACGGAACAAGCAAAGCGGAAACAGAGTCTTAATAAGTGGGAAGATAGGTGGAAATACGCCAGTGTTGATTTTGTCTGGTACACATGGTTCTGGGCCTTGTATATGACGCGTGTAACCCAGGTAGGGTCCTTGTCATTTCTTCCCCTCGAGAACAGCGTTTGTTGACGTAGTGACAGAGGCACTACTGATGACCATGACGCTGCATGTAACCTTCTCGTTGACCCTGTGAATTGGTGCGGTCTTTTACTGATCCTGGGACGCTACTGGCCTTTAGGGAAGCTAAGTAGCCATGGAAGGCTGCGGACCTAGTGAGCAGCAGAGGCGCTGTGCAAGCCAGGCAGTTTGCCTCGAGAGTTCAGTAACCCAGTGTGGCCATATAACAACATGTTTGGTTGTTCTCATCCCTGTTTGTTCTGTAGACTCCTCACAAAGGGATGGGTGTGGCTAGTTTTTGTTTTTGTTTTTTTTTTTTTTTTAAGACGATTGGGTTTTCTCGCGCTGGTCAGGGCCTGGAGCTTCGAATCTGAGCAGCATCAGAGATTGTTAATCTCCTTTCTCCATTTCTCTTTTAGATATCAGTTTTTCTTACAGGTGAAGCAAGATGCCCTTCAGGGCCGGCTGCCCTGCCCTGTCAACATTGCTGCTCAGCTGGGCGCATACGCCATCCAGGGTAGGTTTCGCTGGAGTATATGTGCCTCAGAAGTGCTTGAAAAAAATACTTGAGTTTTTATTTGTACGAAAGTTTACTTTCTGCAGCTCTTCTTACTAGATTTTGAAAAAAATCAAACTTAACCAGTCAGAATTCAGATCTTGACTAGTATCCCTTCAAAAGATACAAAAATGGAGCTGGCTGCATTTTCCTTGTTTCGGGATTGACCCTGACTCCTAAGTAGAAAGCTGAAAATCTCTTTAGATTCTACGTTCTGCCTGGGTCTGGTGACTCTGCAGTCTCAGAGGCCACACCGTTGCTGTCAGCATGGTCATACCAAGTCCTGTGTGACACTCTCTATATTCCAAGTACTTTACTTTCCGGATCAGTGTGGCGGCCCTGTCAGGTGGCTCTGGGTCATTTGGTCTTTCAAATGTGGTGTGGGGAAAAAAACAAACGAGATAGCTTGGTCTTTGAGACACTAGTAAAATATACATCGTGTAGAACAGATGTCTCAGGCAGAACGTCCGCTTGGACTGGGTTGGGACTGGAAGGGAGATCATTGCCGTAAGGAGTTAATCAGGAGAACTCTCTGGGCTTTTTTGCTTCTTTGTGTTAACGGTGGTGGGACAAAGCCAGTTCTGTGGTGTGTGTCTGTGTACATCACATACAGCCTGGTTGTTCTGAAAGCCATGCCTGCTCTCTTGGTTTCATTGTCTGTAATGTTTGAGTGAGGTTACTTAGTAGTTATCTTAGCTGCGTCGTTTTATTGATAAAGAAAAAAAAAAGTTTAAGTGTGATAGAAAAACTCCATTTCTGTATTTTTGGAAGCATTTCCCACGAACATCCTTACCTGTGAGAGTTAGGGGAAAAATTATATGAATACAATTGCATTTGTTTTCCAGCTGAACTTGGAGATCACGACCCATGTAAGCATACGGCGGGCTACGTGTCTGAGTACCGGTTTGTTCCTGATCAGAAGGAGGAGCTGGAAGAAGCCATAGAGAGGATCCATAAGACTCTGACGTAGGAGCAGGCTTGTGTTGTCAGCCTTCACCAGTGTCTAAGACAGTTCTAAGTGTTTGCAGCGATAAATTCACCTGTGTCCTGAACATTCCATCTCTCTTGCTTCTTTTATAACAATAAGTGCTCATTGAAAATCCCAGCTATCTAAATAGTATAAAGGAGACAATAAAGCCAGGTAACCAAAAGTCGCCACAGTTTTGGTTAGTGAGCTCTGACTGCTCTTCTCTGCATAAATCACACAGAGAAAATCAACTTCGTATAGGTATTGTGATTTTACATTAGTAGAGACACTTTAAGGGCTGGGCTTGTCGTTTTTCCCATCATTAGTATCTTGTGAAATCTTATAATGTATAAAACTTTTAACTGTATGAAAATAGCTAGACATACTTTTGTGCATTTGAGGCTTGTCCTGAAGTAAGTATGTAAGTCTTTAGAATTAAAAGCAAAAATCCTATGCAGGCCATAGCAGTGAGCCTGTTCTCATGAAGATACCTCTGTGGAGCTTCTGCAGGCTCATTCTAACCCTGCATGTACCTTCAGAGTTCACATGCTCCCCTGGGAAGATTTTCAGTTAATAGCCCTGAGCATTGAAGTTATAATTTAATTATAGTTATTTTGGTTAAATCCTTTATACTGAATAAACTTCACTTTTTTTTTTTTTTGCTTCTTGTGTGACATTCCCCTTTGAATATGCTTTGATTCAGATCTATTATAATTTAAAAAAAATGCAGAATTAATCTGCTCCACAGAAACGTTTGCTGAATGGATCTGCCTCAGTGGTTAGCGGCAGAAGTCAATTGCTGAATAGCAATCAGAGGAGGTGGCTCTCCATTTTAGATTAGCATGCACTAGAGTGGTCTCTTGCCTGAAAATAGAATCCTTCGTTTTAAGGTTTTGCTGAAGTGGATGCTAACAAGAGCGAGCTTGTTATATGTTATGAAGGGCGGCGTGTTTGGCACGGTCTGCGAATACTAATTCTACAAAGCGTTTCAAAGCATAACCGTATTTTGAAATTATGGGGCTTTGGATAAGGGCCCTCCTACATGTTTTATGTGCCAGTGCGGCCAGTTATCTGTATTGTTTCTCTAGGAATAAAGCATGATCAAAGTTTGGTAGTTTTCTTGTGACCAATTTATGAAGAACATTTTCCCAGGCTTTTATCTAAGTGCACGGTGGCTGAAGACAGGATGCATCAGAGAGCACATCTCAGTTTTTAGACATTCTTAGCAGCTTTTATCTTTTGTTAGCCATCACGCCTCCTTCCCCTTCCCCCCCCAGCTCATCCATGGAGATTCCTGGCAGATGCTCACCCTCAT